CGTTTGCTCCTTTCTCACCTTCCCCTGCCTCTCTGTTTCCCCCCAGCCCCGCTCCCTTTGTCTCTGCGGTGGTGCCTCCCTGTGTGTCTGGTCCTTTCTCTGTGCCGGGGCTGCAAACCGGGGTGGGTGGGGGCGTGCGGGAGCGGGGACCACAGACCTGGGCAACGCGGGGGGCTGCGGTCCTGGCCCCGCACCTCTTCGTTTGTCTCTGCTTCCGACCCTCTCCCCTCCCTAGCTCTCTCTACCCCACTCGAGATTATTTATTGTCTCTGGAGGGTTTCAGAGGGCGAGGGAGAGAAAACTGCCTTCCCTTCTCTCTAAACAGCGTGCACCCCCTACATACACCCACACCCACACCCACAATGAGGCTTTAGGGCCCAATTCCTGCAGAACAAAGGGGAGCAGCCTGTTGATGGGTGGCTACCTTGACGACTGCCGCACTGGGCCTTACAGGGCCTTACAGGGCCAGAAACGGCATCGGAACCGTGGCCCCAAGGCCCCTGGGAAGGCCCCTCGGCCTCTCTCTGTCTGCTCTTCAAACCCACATCCCTGACTCCCTGCTCATCTCCATTCTCACTTGACCATTAGTCACCAAATCCTGCAGTATTTTCTGAACGAGGCTCTTCCCTCCGCCCCGCCCCTCCTCTGAAATTCTGCACAGGGAGCCTCTGGCCTGGTCTGGTCTGGATCCCTCGATCTCCTCTCCTCTCTTCCTGCAAACTGGTCCATCAGCAAGGGCATCTCAGGGCTCAGGAAAGATGTGCTCCATCAATCAGGGTCTCTCCCTTTATGTTCCTTAGAGTTCACCACTTTCCTCCTCTTCCTTCCCCTGGCTCTTCACACGTAAACTCCAAGCGGAATATCTTGTCATTGTCATTCCATGGGTCTGGCTTCCCCTTCTCCACCTCGGTCTCATCTTCTCCATCTCTCCCTCTGTCAAGCTCTCCCTCCCCTGTGTTCCAGAGTCCTTTGTTCACAGCCCTCCTGCCCCGGCCTCCCCTTGCTTAGTCGGTCATTTGCGACACATCTCTCTCTCCTGCTAGACCGGGCTTTAGCATGTGCACGCTGCCTGGCACACCTCATGGAATGAGGATGGATTTGAAAGCCTCCCTCATCTTCCCATCCCCTCTGGAAACACACCTAGAGTCCTACCTATCCAGGTGCTAAGTCTCGGAAGGAATTTCCAACGAATTAATCTGCCTGCCAGCACTTGAATTTTCCCTGCAAACCCCAAAGGTCCCCCCTCTTCCCTCACACCTCAATTCAGCCAGAAGGCTCCAGGCACCCTCACCACTTCACTGCTGTGACCATGTTCCTGTCTGGAGCCTTCATGTTCACTCTTAGGCATTCTGGTCACGCTTCCACGAGCGTTTCTAGGACTGTATTGAGGTCCTTTATTCTGTGGAAGGTTCTATTCTTACTGGGGTTCAGGCTGCATCGACAGCAGTGGGGGTGAGAATTGGGCTCTCATGGACTTAAACCTCAGTCAGCCCGAGCTCAGCCCGACACCCCCAGATGAGGCCCTCAGCCCCATTCGTTTGTCAGGGGAGGCCTGTGCAGCAAGTGGTCACATGAAGTCCAGCTAACGTGCGGCAGACTCCAGAGCCAGTGTTCCTACTGCTGCCATCGCCAGCCACAGCAGCGTGCACACCGCCTCCCCATGGCAACCCCGCTCTGGAATCTGGCCATTCGTTCTCTGTGCCCGGAACCTCGGACTTTTTGGGTCCCAACATTCCACTCCCCCCTTAAAGGGCTGCCCTTCAGCTGCATGTCTGGAGAGGAAAGTGAAGGACCTGGGAGTGGAGGCACAAGAGGTGGGTCTGGGAGGGAGGCACGAAGGCCAGGATCATGTGCTGAGTCCTGCCACACACTTTCACACCACCTTTCCTTCCTATCGCCTCTGCCTGGTAAGCGCGCTGCGTCTTTATCAAAAGCCTCCCCATCTTTCAAGGCCCTTCTTGTGGTGCCTCCTTCCGTTTTAACCTGATTTTCCTTTTGGGATCTTTGTGTCTCTCTATCTGAGCCCTGATAGCACTTCACCTGCTCTAAGGGCTACAGCTACCTCCTGAGTATACATTTGTCTTATCCACCAAAAGCTCCCGGAGACCAGGAAGGGTTACGTTTGATGATTTGCTCATTTTGTATTTCTTTTTTTAAAAAATATATTTTATTGATTTTTTTACAGAGAGGAAGGGAGAGAGATAGAGAGTTAGAAACATCGATGAGAGAGAAACATCGACCAGCTGCCTCCTGCACATCTCCCATGGGGGATGTGCCCGCAACCCAGGTACATGCCCTTAACTGGAATCGAACCCAGGACCCTTCAGTCCGCAGGCCGACTCTCTATCCACTGAGCCAAACCGGTTTTTAGAGAGGGAAAATTTCTTACGGTGCCTCTCATCACGAAATGGTGTGTGTCTCAGCTCTACCACTAACTGTGTGGCCCCCATAAGTCCTCTCGCTCTCCTAAATCTTTCATTTTTTTAATTTTAATTTTTAAATCCTCACTAGAGGATATTTTCCCATTGATTTTTAGAGAGGGAAAGACAGAGAGAAATATCGATGTGAGAGAAACATACCGATTGGTTGCCTCCTGCATGCTGCACATGCCCGACCAGGGCCTGGCTGGGGAGGATCCTGCACCTGAGGTACTGCGTGCCCTTGACCAGAATCAAACCAGGACCCGTTGGTCCTAGTCCGACGCTCTATCCACTGAGCAAACCAGCCAGGGCAAGCTTTTATTTTTTTTTAATTGATTTGAGAGAGAGAGAGAGAAGCATCAATTGTTGTTTCACTTATGTATGCTTTCATTGGTTGATTTTTATGTGTGCCCTGACCCAGAATTGAACCTGAAACCTTGGCATATCAGAATGATGCTCTAACCAACTACCTGGCTAGGGCCCAAGCTTTTAAAAGTGGAATTAGAAGGCAAGGGTATAGGGGAATAATTTTCCAACACTTCTCTTGTAAGCTCATGTTTTAGATTCTTCTTTGGAGTAAAATAGGCTCAAGTGTTTCCAAGGTAATGTCTGAGCTGTAAAAACTCCGTGTTTTTTCACTGTGTCCCCCATTCGTCTTGGCTGCCATAATCAGATCACCAGGACCGGTTTTTTCTTGCATCTGCATGGGAACCCTAGGAACAGACAGTAACTGCTCCAGGGCAGTCAGACGCATGCCTCACACTCCCACTTTCTTGAATAAGGTGTTAGACTAGCCCAGTGGTCGGCAAACTCATTAGTCAACAGAGCCAAATATCAACAGTACAACGATTGAAATTTCTTTTGAGAGCCAAGTTTTTTAAAGTTAAACTATATAGGTAGGTACATTGTTATTAACTTAATTAGGGTCCTCCTAAGCTGGCCTTTGCTAAAAACGTCCTCAGTCTGGTTGAGGTACGTTCGCTGAGGTCGACCCCTTCCAACTCTCCCATCCACACTCGTCGTGTAAACTTGTTTTGTCTAACTCCTTTCTGAAAACCGACTTCTGTGTATGGGCCATGAAGTTTCAATCGCACTGTATGTGCACACCCGCACATGTATTTTGTGGAAGAGCCACACTCAAGAGGCCAAAGAGCCGCATGTGGCTCGCGAGCCACAGTTTGCCGACCACTGGAATAGACCATCTCTAAGGTGCTTTCCAGCTGGGAAATGTGTACGAAAAGAAAAGAAAGGCTGGGATCTGAGTGTTCATCTAGGCCCCATCTCTCGTGTGGCCCTCTGTCCACAAGGTGCCGGGTGTGACCAGGCCTTGGGAAGGAGAGATGGGCCACATCTGATGGAGCCAGTCCGCAGGATCCAGGATCTGAGAGTGAGGAGCAAGTTAGCCTGTGAGCCAGGCCCCAGTTGAACCATGTTGCCTACCTCAGTCTCTTCACAGAGCCCATGGAGTCCACAGCTGAGGAGACAACTTTCCACTGCCACAGGGACCCCCTGCCACAGCCCGGCCTCACCCCGGAGAGGCTGCGGGCGCAGAGGCAGCTCTGTGTCGCCTGCGCTGTGTGCTGCGCCTTTATGGCCGGGGAGGTGGTTGGTAAGTTGGAGAGCTGCTCCTCCAACCCCATCATCCCGACATCTGCTTAAGCCACTCTCCACTCAGAGCCCCAGGATGTGCCAAGGGGTGGCGGTGCAGAGAGGAGGGGGATGGCTGGCACTTGGGAGTTGGGTGCCCAGGGATCCAGAAACGGGAGAGAGTGAAGGATAGCACCAGGGGAGGTTCAGGGCGAGGTCCAGGGCTGGACTCTGGGATAACGGCTCTTTTCAAAGCCCTATGTTCTTGTTATTACAATGTCATTGTAGAAAAACTAGGAAATGTGGATGAGTGAAAAGAAGAAAATAAAAACGATCTGTAATCCCATCACCAGTGAAAAACCACAGCTCACATTTTGGTGTATGCCCCCGCCCCCCATTTTCATGCCTATACAGCAAATGTACATTGTTTTGCCCTTGCAGGTGGGTATTTAGCACACAGCCTGGCCATTATGACCGACGCAGCCCACCTGCTGGCAGATGTGGGCAGCATGCTGGGCAGCCTCTTCTCTCTCTGGCTCTCTACCCGACCAGCCACCCGCACCATGACCTTTGGCTGGCATCGCTCAGGTATGGCTCCTGCATGAGCTGGTGACCCTCCAGTCTTGCTGGAGGGCACCTCCTAGGGTCCCTGGTTTCGGGCAGGTCTCTGATAGCTTGTCTCTGCCTGCAGAGACTCTGGGGGCTTTGGCCTCTGTGATCTCCCTCTGGATGGTCACGGGCATCCTCCTGTACCTGGCCTTCATCCGCCTGCTGCACAGCGACTATCACATCGAGGGGGGCGCCATGCTGGTGACCGCGGGCATCGCAGTCTGTGCCAATCTGCTGTACGGTCCAGTATGGAGCAGCCACCTGTGGGGTTCAGGGCAAGGGGCCCTCCTCCAGGCGGGGAGAGCAGGTCCTCCCCTCCCAGACAGACAGGCAACGCAAAACACTGGTTCTCAGCAGGCTGCCCTGGGAATGCCTGAGCCACAACTGGGGGAGGCTGAAAATTCAGAGTCAACAGACACTGGTTAAAGGCCTGCCGTGTACCAGCCACTCTTGCTGGGACTGTCATCAGTATCATCTCATTAAAAGCTCACAACCACCCAGGCCGCATAGCTATTTAAGTAGCAGGGCCAGCATCTGAATGCAGATCTCTGGCACCATGCGCTCTATTGCTCTATTCTTGCCCCCAGGCAGCACTATTTTTCTCAATGTTGTCTTCTTCCTGGGGCTGGGAACACAGGGAGAATATAGTGGAGAAAGAGCTCATGGGGAGATGAGAGGGGAAGGAAAGAGGGGGAGGAGAGAGGGGGAGGAGAGGGGGGAGGTGTGGAAATAGGCAGAGGAGGCTGGGAACAGGCCCCCTGGGCTGAGCTGCTCTGCTTCCCCCTCAGAATGGCCTTTGTGCTGCACCAGGCTGGGCCCCAGCACAGCCATGGGTCTAGGGGGGCTGAGTATGCACCGCTGGAGGAGGGGCCTGGGGAGCATCTGCCCCTGGGGAACACCAGTGTCCGGGCGGCCTTTGTGCATGTACTGGGGGACCTCCTGCAGAGCCTTGGGGTGCTGGCTGCCTCCATCCTCATCTACTTCAAGGTACTGTCCAGCAGGCCTGTCCCAGCCTTCCTCCCCCAACTCCACCCCCCATCCCTGCCTTCCCAGGACCCACAGCCTCCTTCCCCCATTCCAGCTCCTGGCTCCCTCGGATCCCTGCCTGGGGTCCTGGCCCCTGGCCTAGGACACCCCTAGATCTTCCTCTGAATGGTCCCTGAATGGGCTTAGGGGGTCTCTCTTTGTCTCAGCCTCAGTGCAAGGCAGCTGATCCCATCAGCACCTTCCTCTTCTCTATCTGCGCCCTTGGGTCCACGGCTCCCACCCTCCGAGATGTTCTCCGTGTCCTCATGGAAGGTGAACCAGACCCACTGTTCCCATCCTTTGGGCCCTCTCTGACCTCACTCCAGCACGGGGCGCCTCTCTTTCCTCTGATGAGTGTGGGGAGAAGGCCGGGGCCATGGGCCTCTTGCTGGAAGGAGGGTTCAGGCACAGGCTGAGTGTGGGGTCACAGGGTGAGGGGGTACAGAATGAGGGAGAGGGGGCCTGTTGGGGGGTGTCCCTGGGCAGGAATAGCCCCAGTAGTAAGGCTTGGTGGATGCTGCTTGCAGGTGCCCCCCGCAATGTGGGCTTTGAGCCGGTGAGGGATGCACTGCTGTCAGTGCCAGGAGTCCAGGCCACTCATGAACTGCGCATGTGGTCCTTGACACTCACGTACCACATTGCCTCTGCACATCTGGCCATCGGTGAGTCCACACTGGCCCCAGCCAGTGACTCCTAGAAGCATTCCCCCCGCAAAACAGAGGTAGATATTGCTGAGGCTGTCTCAGTCTCTCCCTCTCGCTCTCTCTCTCCCTCTCCCTCTCCCTTTCCCTCTAAGTAGAGCAGGGAACTAGTAACCCTTTACAAGATCACTAGTACCTAGTTACTAGTGATGAAGCACAGTTAAGTAAATCCAGCACCTCCACTCAGTGATACCACATATCTGCTAAAAACGATGACTATGAATACTGTATGGCAACTAGGGAAACTGTTTGTGGTATAATGCTGAAAGGAAAGGCTGAATATAAAATTATCTCTACATTATGATTCAACTATTAAAAATATATATGGTGACTCACAAGCTGACAAAGGATTTTTGAGTTTCTTCCAGATGCAGGAAGCAATCAGAGACATGCAGTTTGGATGCCAAAAATATTATACTTTGTGGGATATTTGATGGCTCTGGAGGGGCAGTGGGGCAGAATATTTAACATCTGGGTTGTCCCAGAAAATTGGGTGGCCTGGCTGCTGAAGGGCTGTATTCGGATACTCAGAGAGCAGAAGAGAATAGAAAAATCAGAACAGTTTAGTGTGTTAGCCTGGTCGATTTGGGGTGAGTCCAGCCTTTTCTTTGGCGTTTTTATGCTTTTCATACAACACAGAAAGCAAATAAAGATCCCCATTGAAGGCTGGCCTGAATGCTGTGCACGCTCCTGGGTCCCCTTCACTGGTCCTTATCTTGGCCCCGGCCTGGTTCCCGGCTCCCCTGGGGACCTGCTGTCTCTTATCACTTTCCCACAGACTCCACTGCGGACCCAGATGCTGTCCTGGCCGAAGCCACATCCCGGCTCTACTCCCGATTTGGATTCTCCAGCTGTACCCTGCAGGTTGAGCAGTACCAGTCCGAGATGGACCAGTGCCTGCGCTGCCAGGAGCCTCCCCAAGCCTGAGCTGGCCCTGCCCTCTCCCCACTGCCAGGCTCTGGCTCAGCCCTAGGCTCTCAGCTGGGCCCTTACCCCTTCCTCTCTCCCTCCTGCCACCTGCCAACTCCCCAGCCCCAAGCCCCAGTGGGCAAGACCAAAGTAAGGGGGGAGTGGGGTGGGAGTTGGGCTGAGCAGGGAATCAGTGCAGTAGGGGGTGGGGGTCCCAGCTCCCCGCAGTCTGGGGAGCCATGAGCATCCTTTCCGTGCAGTTCATTTGTCTGTGTGGCAGGCTGGCCGCTGGCTGGGGCATCTGCCTGTCTGTGTGCTGTTGGTGTGCCTAGGCCTGGGGGAGGTCATCAGGGGCCCCTCCCCACATGGCCCTCGCTCTGTCTATGCAGGAGCCCCAAAACTTGCACTTTGTCCGTGTGTTCTGGCCCTGTGGCTTTGTCTGTGTGTGTGTGTGTGTGTTTCTTGGTGCTGTGGCCTGTGTCTCTCTGTGCCTGTGTGGCTGCGCTATGGTCTCTGAGTCTGCACCATCCATGTGTCCCTTTGGGGGTCTGTCTATCCCTCTGTTGGTGCTGTGCCCTGGGCTTTCCCAGAGAGAGGGAGGACTCCACTGCAGCTCCACAATAAACGTGTGTGTCACTGCATCCTTCAGCCCGTGCTGACTCCTGGGGCGGGAAATAGAATCCGTCACCTGAGCACTGACAGAATCCGACAGTCCAAGTGACCTCCACAGCCCTCGACCCCTCCCCAGCCGCCCCCTCCACCATCAAATGTACCTCCCAGTGATACAGGTTGGAACCACAGGCTCATCCCACCTTCCCCTCCTCAGCGTGCGCCGGCCTGGGCTGGAAGGCAAGGAGCCAACGGCTTCTGAGAGTCATTCCTAAAGGCTCCCCCAGGCCACGGTGCCTGCCTCGGGCTGGTCAGAGGGAAGCTGCGTGGCTCTGGGGGAGCGTGGCTGGACCCCGGGGCTGATGTGGGCTGTTCTCAGCTGCATGAGGCCAGGGAGGGGCCTTCAGCCCTGACTGCCCCCCCTCGGGTCCAGGCTTGGGCTGCGGACACCAAGGACCTCTTTACAGTTCTTCCCCTTTTGCCTTCAGGATCATATAGGATCGTATAGATTTGATCCGACAAGCCAGACCCACTGAGGAATTGATTTTTGCTTTTTAAAAACCAAACTGTTCGTGCTGACTTTAGATCTAGTGCTTCGGATCAGCAGGGCTCACTGGCCTTCCCACCACAGTGATCAAGCCCCAGCCCCAGCATCATTTCTTATTAGCCTGTGCATGTTTCTGCCAGGCTCCCCCACCACCCAGTAACGGAAGTAATTTTATTATGAAATTATCTCCTTCTTGTTACTAAAGCATATTATAAATATATGCTTGTTTTAAGGGTTCAACAAAGGAAATGTGTATAAAGTAGAAAGTGGATGTTTCCCCCCATAACAGTGATGGCGAACCTATGACATTCATTTTTTTGGTTGAGTTTTCTTTGTTAAAGGGCATTTAAATATATAAAATAAATATCAAAAATATAAGTCTTTGTTTTACTATGGTTGCAAATATCAAAAAATTTCTATATGTGACACAGCACCAGAGTTAAGTTAGGGTTTTTCAAAATGCTGACACGCCAAGCTCAAAAGGTTCGCCATCACTGCCCTGTAAGCTACTCCCAGAGGTAGCTGCTATCCACAGTCCAGAATCTCCCCGCTCATAATATTTTTATATACGCAGACACTTCTATTAATAACCTAACGGGATCACTTTATTGTTTAACCTGCTTTCATGACTCAGACACCCTGGCTGCACCTCTTTTTAACGTGAGGCCTTGGACTGGTCGGAAATAGGCCTCCCCACTCGGATCCTTAGCTGGGGCCTGGGCCCAGCTGGGTCACTGATGGTCTGGGGAGGACGTGGGAAGCTGGGCCAAGGTGACGGGCTGGCGGCCCATCCCACCGGGCCCCAGCTGCTCTCCATGCCTTGCTAGTTCCTGATACTTTCCCATTTTCCGGCTCATTGATTACAGGCCCCAAGCAACGGGGTGGGGGTGGGGAAGAGAGGAAATGGAGGCTGGGGGAAATGAGGACTAGATGTTCACCTTATGAACAGCCCTAAGCTGCAGGCCCAGCTATATACACAGCACTGGGTACCTCTGCAGGGGAGGGAACAGGCTGTCCAAGGCAGAGAGAGACCTCACAGAGCACGCAGTCCCTCTGCCCCACCCCTGCAGGATGAGGAAGAGGAAGCTGGGGCTCAGAGGGAACAGGACTTCCCCACGGTTGCCCAGTAAGTGACATGGTCAGGAGCAGAGTCCGTTCTCATTCCCACCAGCCCCCCTTTTTCTTGGCGGGGAAGTGGGGGAGCACTACAAAAAGCTTTATTGTTTCCATGTGGTCCAAGCATGGGAGAGGGCTCAGGGTGGTTAAAAGGATGGCTGGTGGTTTCAGGGAGAGGCTCACACAAAAGCCAGACACCAGGGGATGCAGAGGGGCCCCTCACAGGCCTCTGGGCTCCAAAGGCTCCTAGTCGTGTTGAGGGTGAGGGTGAGGGTGAGCCTGTAGAAGAGACACTAGCCCAGCCCAGCCTGGGGGCCGGCGCCTGCGGAGGTGAGTCAGGTGTCGCCCATCTTCCTGATGAGTTTCATCTCCTCACCCAGGAAGTGGTTCCCCAGGAAGTCACAGAGACGAGGGTCTGCGTGCGGGTAGAACCGGGGCCTGCAGGTCCACAAGGGCCTGGTTCAGGTTCCTCTCCAAGGCCAGGGCGGTTTCCCTGGCGTCCTGAGTTTTGCCCACTCACCTTGGGGAGGCTTCAGCGCGTCCTGGAGAGAATGCAGCCACCGCGCTGGTTTTGCATCTTTGAGCGATACTCAGAGCTGTAGCGCGCTCGGAAGTGACCCACACCCTCCAGAGCCATGTCCTCGGGTCCAAACAGAAGCCCAGAGCGAGGTAGGTGTGGGAGGCCGCGGATGCAGGTCAGCCAGGGGGTCGACGGGGCCTCCACCTCCCTGGAATAATTCTGACGAGTTTGGGAGCTCATGGTTGTTGGGCAATAAGGACTTAAGATCAAAAATAGGTGTCGCTGTCTTGGAGGCTGAGGATGGCTGAGGTGGTTCCCCAGGTGGTGACTGGAAAAGAGGTTGGAGGGGGTCGGAGGCTGGAAGAAGGGGTGCCCCTGGGTCTGTTCCGTGCGAACACTGTTGAAGCGAGAGAGAGGTCCGGGGACGCTGAGGGCACTGCCCCACACAGGCCCCTTTGAAGCTCTTGCCCAGCTGAGTTTCTGGGCTCCTTTCTCAGCCGCCTGCTCCCGTCGGTACGCAGGGCCTGGGCCTGAACTCTGGCTCCGTGGTTCTGCTCTCGTCTGTCCTCTGGTCACTGGTAATCTCTCTGCCTCCAGCTTCCTAACTAAGCGGAAGGACTACATGGCATGTGGGTGTGAGCGCGGCAGGTACAGAGCCTGTAGGGAAGGGCTAGCGTTGGTGGAATCCCGGGTGCAGGGGAGAGATTTCGGGGAACAGGGGGGCCCAGCACCCCGACAGCGGAGACAGGAGCCAGCATTCACTGAGCTCATCCTGAACGCAAGGCACTGAGGTCATATAGCTGCACCTTCCATTCTGGGGAAGCTGAGGCGGACCGCCCAGGCCCTGATGCTGATAACTGTCCGAGTTGAGATTCAAACTCGGTTCTGACTGCTCTGAGGCCCCAGCCATCTTCCACGCCCCTGCCTCTCCCACCTAACCCCCCGCCCTCCCCCTCCAGTCGGACAGGGAGCGTCCCCCTTCGGGTGTACAGCGCTCCCAAGGGGGCCAGGAATCCCTCATCTGCGGGAGCTGCTGGCACTGCCCTGTTATCTCCCCAGCCCACCTTCTCCACAGCGTGTCCAGCGGCCTTGCCCTGTGGGCCCTTCCCTGATGATAGAGTATGTGGCAGAGGGAGAAGTGAGGAGAAAGGACTGGAGAGGGGCGGGGAGTGCAGGGGGCGTGGAGGAAGGTGGGGGGAAGGCCTGTCATCCATCAAGGCGCCCTGGCAGGTTGTTACACAGCTGGTTAGCCAGGGGGCGAGGGGCAAGGGGCAGAGGAGAGCCCGAGAGGAGAGGTGGTCGGGAGGAAGGGAGACAGGACTGTCATCCTGCGAGTGCAGCTGTAGGTGTGCTCCCAGGAGACGGGAGACCAAGGAGCCAGACAGAACAGCCAGCTGGGAGGCTGCAGAGACTGGGCCTGGGGAACATCGGGCAGGTGGGCAGGCCCCGCCTTCCTCACTGCGCTGCTTGCCTGGGGTCTGCTGGGCCAGCTGGCAGGGGACAGACACACCTTTCTGTCCAAGGGTGAGGACTGAGGACCCAGCAGGCTAGGGGAACAGTCTGTCTGGGGTCAAGAGGAAAAGCAAGGTGCCCAGCTGGCATGGCTCCGTGATTGAGCACTGACCCATGAACCAGGAGGTCACGGTTCAATCCCCAGTCAGGGCACGTGCCTGGGTTGCAGGCTTGGTCCCCGGCGTGGGGCGTGCAGGAGGCAGCCAATCAGTGATTTTCTCTCATCATTGATGTTTCTCTCTCTCCCTCTCTGAAATCAATAAAATATATATATTATTATTTTTAAGAGGAAGAGCAGAGTGACAAAGCTGTGTCCTCCTCCCTCCAATGACCCTGCTGCCCCATCAGGGACTTGAGTGCAGGCCAGTCTAAAGGCCTGGGCCCATCCTTGCTGCCTTGAGCTGGCCGTCAGAGGGGGAGCAGCACCCCTCTTCCCACCTGGCCCGTGCCATGCTGAGTAGAGGCTCCGGAGGGATCTCAGGGCCTGAGCCGGGATGGGAAAGCCCTGGCCCTCTTCCTGGCAGAGCCCCCACCTCCCCGGAGAGCTGCATTTAGGGAGTTTCCTTTATGGCTGAAGGACTCTTCACCCCCAGTTCTGGGAGGTCCCAGGGCCACCCTGTCCCTGCCATGAGCTCCAGGGCCATCCCACCAGCACCTGGCTGGTACCTTCAGGGAGGAGCGGGGCGCTGGGCAGTGCCCAGGCTTCTGTGGGGCAGAGCCCGAGGTTGTGGATGGAACTGGGATCACAGACGATCCCACAGACAAAGACCCCGATTTCCAGGATGGGAGAGAGAAAGTGCGAGGAGAATGAGTAAGTAGGAAGGCGGCCCGGTGGCCAGAGCTTATGCCTCTCTCCTCCAGCATCACTCCCTGCCTCTCCCTGCCCCGCCCTGCTCCCCGCCTACAGCATCCTGCCACCGGGGAGCAGTTCCCCCCAGGCCTGGGCAGAGCGCACTCAGAGGACAGGTCTCCTCCGTGCGGAGCTGACCCTCCGCACTGGGCACCATCTAGAGGCCATGGGAGCCACCCTGGGGAAGGGCACATCTCCTGGCCACCTCCCCTGCAGCACCAGAACCCCCATGCCCTCTGGGAGGCTCTGTGGTCGGTTTCTAAGTGGGCGCCTCACTGCTGGAGAGAAGGAAAGCGCAGCCATCAGCAGCCTCCCCTGCCCTAGTTAGAGCTACGCTGGGAGGGAAAGGTGCAGGCGCCTGTACAGCGCACTTTCCATTCTTAAAACATGAGACCTCAGAATAGAAGAGGAAAGCACTGTGTGGGTGGGTCTCCAGGTGCCACCCGCCCGAGCTTTCCTCTTCCATTTGGTCCTGTGCCCATGGCAT